TACTGCGCATGCGCAAATGAGTCACGGCCGCCATTTTGGAAAACAAAAATGGCGGCCGCGACACACACGGCGGCAGCACACGCAGCAGCGGAGGCAGCCTGTGGAAGACCAGGGGATCCCCGGACCAGCCCCAGGTAAGGGGAACTTGCCAACCCCTGATCTACACTATAGAAACAATGCAGCTTGACACCACTTTAAGCACTGTAGTTCCATTTTATGGGATCCTGGGATTTGTAGTTTTACAAGGTTTTTAGCCTTCTCTGCTAAAGAGTGTTGGACACCTCACAGAACTACAAACCCCAGGATTCTGTATGATGGAGCAATGTCAGTTAAAGTGGTGTCAAGGCATTATTTCTACAGTGTAGATGTATCCTAAAACAGGTTAAAATAGTTTAAATGAGGTGCATGGACAGCTTGGCACCAAAGGCTTTTGTAATCAACCATGTTTTCTCTTGGCATTCACATGACAGTATCACTGGCACCAGCTGGGCATCTAAGAGGAACGTAATCTGTAAAGAGGATAGGACGCACAGCAAAGAAGCACTGACTTCCATGTCAATGGGGTGGTGAATCTGTGCTGGGTTTTTCTCTAGTAGCTATCCAAGATGTTGAATCTATTTGGGGGATAGGTTTCAGCACTTCAGATAGTCTGGAACCTGTGGCTGGCTCCTGGCAATGTCACTGATGGTGAGTCCTGGATGGCATCATTAAGTGCAATACCTAATCCAGACAGACCCTGAAGTAGCATTGGGGCAAGCAGCATCCAGATGTTTTATTTCTTCTTAATCTATTAAAGGCAGCACCCTTGTCCAGAGATTCCTCCCATTACACTGAGGCCTGGAGCAGAGCTGGGAAGCCTACTTTTTATACCAAGATTTGCAGGAAAGTTTGTGACTTATTTTATACACTCACAGAATTGGAAGAGATCACAAGCACAATACAAGCGTGCTCTATCCTCAATATGACATCCTTTCATATATTTAAACATGGCTATCATGTCACTGCTTAACCTTGTCTTTTCCAGGATAAACATACCCAACTCCCTAAGCCTCTCCTCATAGGACATATTTTCCAGACCTTTCACCATTTCGGTCACCCTCCTCTGGACACGCTCCAGCTTGTCAACATCCTTTTTGAATGTTGGTGCCCAGGTAAAGCCTCACCAAAGCAGAATAGAGTGGTACTATTTCTTCCCTCAATATACACTCCTATATTGTACAACCTAGAATCATGTTGGCTTTTTAAGCTGTTGACTTGTGTTCAGCTTGTGGTCTACTAAGAGTCCTAGATCCCCTTCACATGTACTAATGTCAGTCCAGTAAGCTTATCGCATGGCACTTAAGGAACGGGAACAGAAAGGAACGGAATGGAACGGGGGAAAAACACATGTTATTGGATAAGAGAATGCCAGGAGTCCCGAAGCCATTCCCCAACAGTTTGTGGCAGCCGATTTTTGAAGGACGATTTTGAATCATTCTTCAAAAATCAGCTGCCAGGAATGGCTGGGGAATGGTTTGGGGACTCCCGGCAGCATCAGTGGCATTCTCTTGTCCAGTAACATGTGTTTTTGCCCCATTCCATTCCGTTCCTTTCCATTCCCATTCCTTAAGTGCTGTGCAATAAGCTTACAGGTGTCACCCATCCTATATCTGTGTTACCTATATACTAAACACAAGTCTTTAAATAGTGGTTGGATGGCCATTTTTCAGAAGCACTTTAGTTGTGCATTCCTATATGACAGGGGGTTAGATTCGATGGCTTTTTGGGTCCCTTCCAACTTTTAAGAGTCTATGATTCTATGAGTATTTATTCAAAGGCAGAGCAGAACTAGTTTGAAAAACATTTTGATAGCTAGTGTGATCTAGTGATTAGAGAAGTTCTGAAAGAGAGCATGGTATAGTAGTTTGAATGCTGGACTAGAATTCTGCAAGACCAGGGGTTCAATCCCATTGTTGTGGTTGATGTTGTTGTTGTTGTTGTTGTTGTTGTGTGCCTTCAAATCATTTCCAACCTATGGTGACCCTAAGGCAAAACAAGGTTTTCTTGGCAAGATTTGTTCAGAGGAGGTTGACATTGCCTTTCCTTGAGGCTGAGAGAACTTGCCTGAGGTCACCCAGTGGGTTTCCATGGCTGAGTGGGGATTCGAATCCTAGTCTCCAGGATCATAGAATCATCGCATCATAGAACTGTAAGAAAATTCAAGGGCCATCCAGTTCAACATCCTAGCATGTAGAGATACACAAAGCACTCCTGACACGTGGTCATCCAGCCTTTGTTTAGAAACCTCCAAGAAAAAGATTTCACCACCCTCCAAGGGAACATATTCTACTGTCAAACTGCTCTTACTGTCAAGAAGTTCTTCCTAATGTTGATGTGGAATCTCTTTTCCAGTAGTTTGACCCCACTGATCTGGGTCCTATACTCTGGAGCTGCAAAAACAAATTTGCTCCATCTTCAGTATGATCTCTCTTCCAATATTTAAAGAGAGTCATAGTTCAATGCTCAAACCACTACACCACGTTGGCTCCAATCCCTGCATAACCATAAAACCTAAAGGGTGACCTTTAGCAAGCTAGGCTTTCTTTGACTATGCAGAAGGCAATGGCAAATCGCCTCTGAATAAATCTTGCCAGGAAAACTTTATAAGGATGCCAAAAATTAGAGTCAGCTTGAAGGCACACCACTAACACCACCAGCACCACCAAGACCACAACAAATTAAAGTTCTAGGTTCAAGTTGCCACATGTTCTTAGTTCAAATTGCTAGGTTCATATTCACTGCAGATTTTGAGCTAGTCATTCTTTCCACTTACCTACTTCACAGGGTGATACTGAGGGAAAAAAATGGGAAGGAGGATATATAAAGCCATGTATGCCCCCTTGATCACAATGGGGGAAACAGGATATAAATTTAACAATAAATCAATAGTTATAAATATAGCTGAGCATAATCTCAGCTATAGTTATAGTCAGGGTACAGTTGAGGAAATGTACACTGCTGTTCTGCCCTTTAAATTATTCCCCAGAAGAAATGAAGGCAGAAAAGACATTTCCTTTTTGTAAAACAAGCTTGCAGACTTTTTCAGAAATATCATTTTCAACCAGAGCTCAAGAGATGCCAAGAAAACACAGAATCTCTTTCCTCTCTTTTGGCCAGGGTAGTGACAATAATATCTCTGGCAAAAGTCAGACTTGCAAAGCCTAACTTGTTCTATTTAAGAAATAGCCTCATTGTCTACCACAGCTGTGCTTAACCTGCTTGAATTGCAGAAGGTTGACACCAGCCCTTATCAGACTTAATTAGATTTTTAAAAAATCATTGACTTCCTGTAATGGAGTGATTTATCTTTGATTTCTTGCCTTCACCTCATGTCCCCAATTCCCACTTTGCAAAGGGGACTTCAGGACACTCCATTCCAGCTGACATCTGCTCTGTGTTCCACTCAACAGAATTCTTGCTAGAGGGCAAGATACATAAAGCAAAGACATATTGTGGAGAGCATGGGTCTTTTTTAGCCCAAGAGCCTTTTCCATGCATCAAGCACAGGCATTTGCTTAGTGTCAGATGTTTTCCCAAGCGGATGCTCTCTGTACAAAAAGGGGGCTTTGCTCATTTTTATGGGGCTGTTTTCTCTGTTTACAGCAATTAGTTGGAAAAGTCCAAGTTCTTGATGGCAGTCTCCACATGCACTTCCCTGGTGCTCCGCGGCCACTCCAAGAAAATGAAAGAAATAAAAATTGAATAAAATTAAAGAATAAAAATATATTCTTATGTATACTCCTAAACACCATTAACTTGTAAGACATAGGGTAAGCCTCTTAGAGGCTCCACCATAGAAATAAGGGCTCAGTGAGTCAAAAAGATTGGGAAGCCCTGCTCAAGAGTATTATTAATTGGATGATGATGATGATGATGATGATGATGATGGCTAGAATTCAATGTGTGGCCTGTTGTTTTATGCCTTCATGTCATTTCTGACTTATGGCATCCCTAAAGCAAACCTATCATAGGGTTTTGTAGGCAAGATTTGTTCAGAA